GCGGGAAGCGGAGCACCACTGCCTCAGCCCGCTCCACTCTCCCAGCTCCCAGCTGTGGCACTCTGCTTCCCGCCGCAGTAGGGTGACCAGACAGCAAATGTGAAAAATCGGGACGGGGTGGGGGGTAATAGGAGCCTATATAAGAAAGAGATCCAAAAATCTGGACTGTCCCTATAAAATCAGGACATCTGGTCACCCTACGCCGCAGGTGAGTGCGGGGAGGTTGGGGAAAGGATGGCCCCCATACTCACCTGCAGCGGGAAGCGGAGCGCCACAGCTGGGAGGTGGCAGAGTGGAGCGGGCTGGGGCCGGGCTGCTCCACTTCCGCTGCTGCTAGTGAGTGCGGGGGGGATCTCTTCCCCCAAGTCCCCTCCCCCAAGCGACATGGCTGGGACCGGGGCAAGGGGAGCAGAGTGGGCTGCTCCCGGCCCCCCGCTAATCCCCAGGGCCACTCTGGGACTGCGGGGCCCCCAAAAGTGCCCCCCCACAGCTCCTGCCTCCCAGACTTTTGGGTGGGGGAGCCCCTGACTGCCCCCGAGACCCTCTGCCCGTTATCCAACCCCTCGGCCCCGACCTGGCCCGGCACCCTTTACACGCTGCTCAGAGCAGCATGTCAGAGCTTTACCACCTTGTACATGAACCCGAGTTATATCGGGATAGAGGTGTACTGTTGTTGTATTTGACTAAGTGTGAAAGTCCATCTTCAGCAGTGCTTTCAAACTACCCTTTATGGTCTAGGCAGGGTTTGATCTTGCTCAGTATATGGTTATTTGGATGAAATAGCCCATAACTTAAGTTTCCTTAAGCTGATTTAAATTGTATTGCTTTGATTCCATTCCATTCCATTCCATTCCATGTCATTAAACTTTAGCAAATGTGCAATTGGGGCATCAAATTGTCTTTAAGTGGTTTGGAAATATTAAAGCATAGCTTCCCCTCCCTTTTTTTCCCCAAGGAGGGACAAATGCTTTTTTTTTTTTGGTAATTTGGACCGTTTCCTATATGTACTTTGGTTTTGATCTTTATAATTCTCTGAGGCCCCCATTGTGTAAAAGTACTCAAGCACATGCGTAACTTCATGCATATGAGCAGTCCCATTAACTTCAGTAAGGACTACTTATATTCTTACAGTTATACATGTGTTTCAGTATCTTGTTTAAGAGCCTGCAAGTTCTAGTCCTACCCAAAAACAATATTATTCTGATATTTCCATTGTTCCCCTTTTTATGTTATTGTCCTTGGAGCATTTTTCAGTAACTAAGAGATACTAACTGTTAATTCTTGCTTTCTTTGAGACTCGTTGTAGTTTAATTATTCCAAGTCCATAGGTTCACTTAGTGGGATGAGCTGCTGAGAGAGATGAAAGTGAGCTGACTGGAAATACTGTAAAGTTAATTTTTGGGAGAGTCACTGGTAGAAGCGCTTTAACATGGAAATGACTTTGGGATTAGTTTCTGCTCTGTAGTGAAAACAAGAATAAGTTTATCATCAAAGAACAAACATTCAGGTAATAGTGAATAAGAATATTGGGAACAAATGGCTACATATAAAACGAAATCATAACTTGCTCTTTGGATCCTAAACTAACAAGTTACCTGCTTGTCTAAAGAAGCTTATCTCACTCAAATTTCTTGCTGCTGTTTTCAACAAAGTCTGGGGGAGATCCCACTTTCATGAAGTAAATTCGCTGTCCATTTACTTCCGAGGTGAGGGATGACTAGGCATATCCTTTGTCCCCCCAAACATACTCAAGCAAACCTTTGATGTGCACCTCTAGAAAGGGTCTCTTCCCTCACCTCTGAGCTATTTTCTCTTCTTGTTAGTTTCTTTCTGAAATCTCTGCCCGCTCTTTGTTAGCATTTGACTTAGAATGCTAATGGTTGCCCCTGCTTACATATAAACAGATAGCTGGATAAACATCTCTTGTCTGACAATCTGTTTTCACTTTTGTTGGTTGCATACCTTATGAACATAATTTTCGATATATACACATAACTCTTTATATAGTGTCTGTACAAACATTTTACAATGATATTGATGACCAGACAGGTTTTTTTTTTTTTTTTTTTTTATTAGAGACCTCACATGACCCTCTTTACTAGAATGTAAAAACCAGACTCAGAGGATAACAGGAATCCCCTATCATCCCCTCTCTGCCCCTTTCCAGTTGGCACTAAAAGGTTCCTGAGTCACAGTAGCAGTAAAAGGAAAAAAGTTTGGACAAAAAGTCAGATTCTGAGAGCTTGCTCCTGCAAGGTACTAAACACCTCCTGTAAGTTTCTGAGTGCTGTCAACTCCATCAGTGGATGACTGGGTACTCAGTGGCTCACAGGATTAGGCTCTTCAGGAGGGAGTAGGCATATACTGACACTTGGATATGTGATGGGGGAGAGAGAGACCACCATATGGGGATGATATTAAACTACAGATCGGTAAATGTAAATTTGAAAGCTAATAATAGGGATAGTTGAGCAAGATGCAAAAGGGACACCTCTTAATCCTACTGAAATAACATGGAGTAGATGGGTTAACCAGGAGATGGAATGGAAAATATTTTCAATTAAAAAAACCCAAGAGTGTCTCCACACACCCCTGCATGCCTCAGAGTTTTGTGATAGGTCTTTGCAGCTCTCTCTCTGGTAGTCAGACTGTGGATTTGGTGTGGGTGACTAATGAGATGGCACTTCATAGGCTTGCCAGATCAAGGTCTATCAATGAGAGGCAAAGGGGGACACTTACGCTACTCCTCCCTAGGCCTTGTGTTAGTGGTTGAGCCAGGCAGCCTGCCTGGGTGGGGCTGAGGATTTTGTGTGGAGAAAACCCTTTGACATGGGATGTGGTCCATTCCTCTGGATTTGGCTCTGTGCTGCATATGGTAGTCCCCAAACTTTCCATTAAATGTTTTTAAAACAAATGCTTACCATCCAAAGGTTAGAACTTGTAATGTGGATGTCTTGTTGGTAATAATATTTGGCATTTACATACCATTTTACATTAATTCTTTAAATAGTTAATCTTCTCAACATGTCTGTGGGGTAGACAAGGAAGTATGCCAGATAAAACCACACCCACTGCAGTGTCACAAAATGATTCTGTTAGGTTTGCAAAGGGTGTGCTCATTTTACGCTGACACTTTGCACTGGTAAATGACTGCAAATGTTACAGGGCAGTGAAGAATCAAGCCCTAAAGTTTCAAAGTCCAACTCAGTGGGTGAGTCAGAGTAAATGTATGTGCACATGGAACAACGTATATGCTTCTGATAAGTCCCTCCAGATAATCTTTCACAGGCCTTCTGATATGTAGCTGGGTAAACTTTATTGGCAAAAATTGCTTGCCAAATTCTGCCCTCTGGTACCAAAATTTGTCCCTCTGAAAATGTGATGGTCATATTGTGATATATTTTCGTATCTATTAATGTGTGTTTTACCTTGCCATTGTGATTAGTTCTTGTATTATGAAAACAGATCCAAGAACTTATAATAGCCCCTGCAATAGAAGTAGAATAGAAGAATAAAAGGGGTAAAGCTTCCATAATAAAGGCATTGCCAACAACTTCACTTCTAGAGAAAGCCAGCTGCTATAGCCACAAGAACCTAAGTACACTTAGACCTTTCATGCAGCAACAGATGTAGGGATTGTTTTCAGAAGAGGTAGGTCGAACACCCCCACCCCTTTGTAACGTGGCAGGACAAAAGTGCAGGTGACATTAACTGCCAGCCTGCACAGCACCTCTCGGATGCCATACTGCTTGCGCAGATGGGGAATGCAGGCAGGGCCAAGGTGTAATCTGTGTAATATGAGGAATGCTGTCCCATTGCTTTTCTCTACAGTTTGATGCCTGCTGCAAATATGTAGCTATAGAGGAGAACGGGGAGGGGAAATCATCTTAAGGCAACATTATGGTTGAGGTTTTAAATGTTAAAGTCAGGAAATTACAATGAGTCTCCTGAAAGCACTGTTAGTGAGCCCCTTTGCACACAGACTGTTAGAGCTGGAATAAATCCTGGCCTTTGGCCTATTCTGGTGCAGACCTAGGAGGGTCAGCTTGGTCTGGCAGGGCTGCTTTATACCAATTTAACCAGATGTTGAACTGGTGACAAGGAGAGCCATGTAGATGCTACAAAGCCAAAGAACCCAGCCCCCTAATAACAGCCATATACGAGATGCAGGATGCATTCCCAGCTAACCCCTCCAAAATGTCACTGAGTGCCAGGCGAAGATAAGTGTATTAGAGTGCAGATCCTCCCCTCCCCTGTGGCAGTTTTGAGAACAGAAACAGCACTAATGATCCTACCCCACTTTCAAATTCCATTTACAAAATTTTGGCATTGAAATTTCTTCTGGATTTAAACAAAGTATAAATAGGAAAAAAATTGTGATTGACTGTACTTTTAAATTAGGGTTACCATATTTAAAAAATAAAAAAAGGACACTCCACGGGCCCTAGCCCCGCCCCTTTCTCACCCCCAGCCCTGCCCCAACTCTGCCCTTTCCCCGCCCCTTTCCCAAAGTCCCCGCCCTAACTCCCCCTCCTCCCTCCCAGCCACGCGAAAAGGGCTGCCCGAGCGCTACTGGCTTACGGTTTGCTGGGCAGCCTCCAGACCCTGCGCCCCCGGCCGGCGCTTCCCCAGGGTAGCTGGAGCCCAGGAGGGGAAGCGCCCAGCCGGGGGCGCAGGGTCTGGAGGCTGCCCGGCAAACCATGAAGCCGGTAGCACTCGGGCTTCGGCAGCCCCTATGCCTCCGGATCCTGCGCCCCCGGCCGGGCACTTCTCCTCCCCGGCTCCAGCTGCTCTGCTCCTTCCCGGACTCAGACTTCGTCTCTGTTTAAGAGCCAAGCTGCCCGAGCCAGCGCTACCGGCTTCAGGCAACCCCCCTTGCCTCCGGACCCCGAGCTGCCGGCTGGGCACTTCTCCTCCCTGGCTCCAGCTGCTCTGCTCCGGCGGCGCAGGGTCCTGAGGCACAGGGGCTGCCCGAAGCCGGTAGCGCTGGCTCGGGGAGCTTGGCTCCTCAACAGAGCCCAAGGCCGCGGCCGGGGCGGCGGCC